ACAAACGCCAATCTGAAGTTGGTATTTTTTTTAGTGACGATTTTTACTGTTCAAATTCCTCAATAAATAGTTTACAACGAGAACGACATGTTGTTTTGTGTTCTCTTAAATTTGGTTTAAAGTTTTATTAGTTTTGTGAGTTTGGGAACGGGTTTCGAGTAAAATGTTGCAAAACTTGTAAATTTGTAGATTCTTGCAGGTCCGGGAACAGAACTATATACTCGGATGTGTGTATTATATGATATTTGTGTATTTTGAATATGAATGATATTATCATTGCCAGAATAGAAGGGAGAAATGTCGAGCAAACATGACCGGAATTGAAGGGTGTTAACTTTATGGTCAAGGACAACATCTACAAATTTCGGTGATGATCAGATGATATTTAGGGAATGGACCTTAATCCTTATTATTGCATGGTTCTAGTCCTAGTCACTCTACAGGCCTCTATTGTAAGCCGAACATCACAAGTTCGACAGGCTATGAAATGGCGGTTTACCAAAAAAAGATTGGATAAAATATGCCAGGGCAAGAAAAGGGGAGCTGTTGAGTTCTTAGAATCATTAAGGGTATGCAAATAGCGTGAAATATGGCCCAGACTCGGAACATTATAGTTCGTTGGTAGTTGTATAGGGTATCATATGATCGGCCCCTTTCCACTACACCTCTGTGTACACTGGTGGTATAATAATTGTTGTAGAGAAGTAAACAGAAGAGATGGGATCTACCCTAAAAAGTGGACCAATATTGATTATGTTTAGTTGGAATATGTTCTACTCAGTGAGAACCATAACCAAACCAAATAAAGTTAAGAAGCGTGCCCAAAAGCCCTAAAATATCGAATAATAGGGAGATTTTCTGTTCAATGAAAAAAAAATCGTTTATAGCTCTTATGGTCCGCTGAAAAAATATTCTTAAAAAAATACACGCATTTAGATCTGATGATCCGTTGAAAAAAATTATTTTTACAAAATCCACTTTTATAGTTCTGATGGTCCGTTAAGAATATATTCTTAAAAAAGTCCACTTATATAGCACTTATGGTCCCCTGAAATATTATAGTTAAAAAATCCAAGCATATACTTTTGAAGATCTGCAGAAAAAATATACGTTAAAAAATCCACGCTTATAGCTTTGATGGTCTACTGAAAAAATATTCTTTAACAAATCTTTAAGAAATTCACGCTTATAGCTCTGATGGTCTGTAAAAAGAAAAGATAGCTTTAATGTTAAAAATATACTTTAAACCAGTAAGGAAAGTAGTAAAGTCGGACTGGGTCGACTATATAATATCCTTCACAGCATTGGTATATTTTACATATATATCGTAATAGACGTCGCCTTTTCAAAGGAACATTGAAATTGAACGAAGTATGTGATCTTTATCTATATGTGAACCGACTAACATCAATCCGTACATATATTCTGAAACCTATGCTAAGTTTCATTTCATTCAGGCAGAATTACAGTCGTTTGCGTGCAGAATTACAGTCAGTATGCCGCACTTTCGTGTCAGTCGAACAAAAATTAGGAGTTTGGTGAGAGCTATATCTAAATTTGAACCGATCTTCACGAAACTATAGCAGAGGTCATTCTAGACTCAATTAGTTACGTTATGCCAAATTTCGTGCAAATCTAAAGATATATACATTAAATCCGTCGAAATATATATAGGGCACGAAACTTAGCTCACATAATTTTGATTTTCACAAAATATAGGACACATCGTTCTATACTCAATTCAGTACGCTTTGCCAAATTAAGTGCAAATCGAAGAATATATAGGGTCTTTGGTCTACCATTTACATTAAATAGGACTAAAATATATATGGGAGCTATATGTAAATTTGAATCGATGTTCACGCAACTTAGCACATATCATTCTTGGCTTAATTCATTGCGCTATACAAAATTTCGTGCAAATCGAGAGATACATAGGGAAATCGGACGAAAATATTCACGATCACGATCCTTAGCACACACCATTCTAGGCTTAATTCATTACTCTGTGCCAAATTTCGTGCAAATCGAAAGATATATAGGGACTTTGGCGCACCATTTACATTAATTCGGACGAAACTATATATGGGAGCTATATGTAAATCTGAATTGATGTTCACGCAACTTAGCACACATCATTCTAGGCTTAATTCATTACGCTATACAAAATTTCGTCCAAATCGACAGATACATAGGGACTTTGGTACACCATTTACATTAAACCGGATGAAAATATATATGGGAGCTATATCTAAATCTGAGCCGATTTTCCCCAATTTCAATAGGATTCGTCCTTTGGCCAAATGAATGAACTGTGTCAATTTTCATCCAATTCGAATAATAAATGCGACCTGTACTTTGTCTACAATTTAACATGGACAGACGGACATGCGTAAAGCGACTTAGAAAGTGATTTTATGCATATTCTCAAAAGGAACCATGGTTCTATCTCGATTCCTTTTGCCTGTTACAAACATATGCACAAAGACATAATACCCTGTACCACAGTGTGGTGAAGGGTATAAAAATCTCGGATGGTCCGTAGAAAAAAAGTTCTCCAAAAAATTCACGCTTATAGTTTTGATGGTCTGCTAAATTTTTTTTCAATCGCATCAAAATATCGTAGAATAAAATTCACTTTTTATACCCTACACAGCTATGTTGTCAGGGTATTATAGCTTTGTGCAGCCCCAAAAGTTTGTAACGCCGCGAAATATTGGTCCTAGACCCACCTTTAAGTATACCGATCGTCATATCTCGACTAGCTGAGTCGATCTAAACATGTGTGTCCGTCCGTCTGTCCATTACAATTTGTAAACACGATACAGGCCACAGTTATGGGCCAATCTTCACGAAATTTTGCATGTAGGATGGGTTGTGGCCAATGAAGACCCCTATTGTTTTTGAAAGAGATCGGTTTTTGTAGGTTTTTCTGGTCGCTCCAGAAGCCGCAATTATGGCCCACACACCGGAAATTTTTGCATGGAGAAGGGGATCGGGCCAAAGAATAAACATGCCTGTTTTCATAAAGATCGGTCGTATTTAGCGGGTCAAATGGACCCTGACTTTTGTGTGAAAAATTACAAAATTTGTATTCTACAGCGTATATATTTACTCCTGAAGGACATAGACCCGAGAAGTTAATAGTTTATCCAAGAGGAGTGATTGGCCTTTAAATTGATACCAATTATATTGTCGTATGTACACGGGTGTGGAAGCTATACGTAAATATTTACACGTACTTACGTATACAGATATTATTTAATAAACCATTACCACACTAGAGGGCGGAATTGTATCGCGGATCGCTTTGAAATGTTCCATGAGGTTCCAGTTATGGTCAAGAACAACGCCTATAATTTTCGGTGATGATCAGATAATAATTTTTGGATGAAGTGGACCGAAAACTTATTTATTTATTATTTTTTTGATTCTACAATTATAAGCCGGACATCACAATACAACCCACGGTGAAGGGAATGTGGACAAGTAATTAGAAGGGCTGTACTGAATATTGGTAATATTCGGAAAATATGTCAGTGTAAGGAAGAGGTGCTGTTGACCTCTAATCGGTAAAGAGGGTGCAACTATCACGGAATAAAAATCCGCAAAAGTTCTGTGGTAGTTGTGTAGGGTATCGTATGGTCGGCCCCGTCCGACTATACTGCTCCGCTCACTGGTTTATATTTGTTGGAAACGAATTGGTTATTGTCAAACGAAATCACCAACAAAGTATACCCTATATAGATTGGTAGACTTTTATATTTTTTCACACATAGTCAATCTGAATAATTGTAGCAGATCTGTTAGAAGAAATTGCATTTTGCAATCTATTTAAATTTCTATTTTTTTCTTTATTTATTAATTGCGGTTGCAATTAAAGTGAGCAATCAATTAACCGTTCAAGTAAATGCCCCTGTCAGATTTGCATCTGAGATGTTTTACACATCACGAACGTTTAGTTCTATTTTTACATTTCCGTACTGTTAAAGTGATATTATTTGTATTGTGATTTAATTTTACCTCAGAAAATGAATCTTCGACAATATATATTTATTTTTCTTCATCTTAATATCCAGAACAATTCTGGAGTTAATTCACTGGATACTCTATTCGAAATAGCCTTCAATACCATAGATGTGGCTTGTAGGTTATATATTTGTAGTTATTTTATTTATTGTTTTTATCAATTCTAGAATCTTATTTTAGGTAGAGCTGTTAAAGATGCCGTCCAAAACTATCCCATTAATCCGCCGTACATTGAAAAGGTGTCATTTCAATTGAGAACTGCATGTGGCATCATTGAATTCCCAGTGCAACAGGCGGCCAAATTGCGTAGTTTTCGACAATTTGATATTCGCAAGAAGACAGCATTTTTTGTGGCCGGATGGAATGCTCCGCCGGATTATTATTATATGAAGGATATTATAAAGGCTTTCAATTGTCAAAGGGATTATAATTTTGTGGTAAGAAGAGGAATTTTCAGTCAAAATGTGTTATAAAGAATTAATGAGCGTGAAACTTTGTGGGGAAATGTTGTTCCAATGAAAAAAAATGGATTGATTTTATTGTTTTCAAATTGTTACTCGTTACAACCAAGTTCGAATTTTCTCTAAACCATTTTCATTTTATTTTCTTTTTGTTTAAATTTCTTCCTTTCCCAGGTCGTGAACACCGGTGGCTTTATAACAAACCTATATGCCAATTCTGCTCATCACACTGAAAAGTTGGGGAAATTTATAGCCATCGGCTTACGCAATTTAGGTCTACGGGTAGAGAAAATGCATTTTATTGGTCATAGCTTGGGTGCCCACATTTTGGGTAATGCTGCACGTTACTATTACCAGCTAACAGGTCGGCGATTTAAACGTATTACCGGTCTCGATCCAGCCCGTCCATGTTTTATAACACCCAGTGTATTTCCCCGCCTTAAACGTGGTGATGCCGAATTTATTGACATCATCCATTCGAATCCCACTCAACTGGGCAGTGAAGAACAAATCGGTGATGTTGACTTTTTTCCTGGTGGTTTGGAGGCATCTAAACCGGGTTGTGGTATTTCATTGCGTTGTTCACATGAAATTTCCGTACAATATTTTGCCGAATCAGTTTATCCGGGAAATGAACGCAGCTATGTGGGAAGACAATGTTGCAATGTTGAGGAATTAAGAGGGAAAAGTTGTACGGGACCTAAATCCATTATGGGTTTGAATAATGCTGGTGCGGCCAGGGGAATACATTATGTACCTGTACGATCTAGCCCACCATTTGGCGGATATGCTAATACAGATGATTGGCTACGTCTAAATAGGTGTGGTCTTTGTGTTAAATAAAAATAAATAAACATTTTTAAAATCTGCCTCACATTATAAATCAGTTAGGAAAGAAGTAAAGTCGGACGGGGCCGACTTTATGATACCCTTTACCACTTTGGACCATTAACATGAAATTGGATGAACTAAAATATTTGATATTTATGTAAATGTGAACCGATTTAATTCAATTCATAAACATGTCATTATAGAGTTGTCTGTTTACTATGGGGGCAAATTATATAAATCAATTTAAAGCAAATCTCAATCGGACCTCTCTTGATTATTTGGAGCTCAAATAATTATGAAAGCTATATCCAAATACGAACCGATTTCAACGTTCGAGTTCATACTAACTTCAGTACGTTTTGAGTATATCCGCTATATTTTGGGTCTTGGTGCATTATTTACTCCAAATCGGACAAAAATATATATGGGAGCTAAACTAACTTCAGGACGTTGCTCAAAATTTTATGCCTACAGGCCATATTGTGGGTATTTGGTTCATTATTCACATAAAATCGGACGATTATATATATATATATATACGTAGTTATATATATATCAGAACCGATTTCGACGAAAATTTCCACACGTTAGGTTATACTACCTTTAATCGGACGAAACGATTTCAGCGAAACATTCGCCGCCGTAGGTTGCACTAACTTCAGAACGTTCTGAAAAAAATTTTGTGCCAATCGGCCATATTTTGAAACTTTGTGCTCCATTTGCTGAAAATCGCACGAAACTATATATGGGAGATATATCTAAATCTGAACCGATTTCAGCGAAACTTTCCACACCGTAGGTTACACTAACTTCTGTACGTTGCGTAAAATCTTGTGACAATCGGCCATATTGTGGAGCTGTGGTGGACCATCAACTGAAAATCGCACGAAACTATATATGAGAGTTTTATTAAAATCTGAACCGATTTCAATAAAACTTGACACATGTTATATTAGAGTAACTTCGGAAGTTTCTGCAAAATTTTATGCCAATCGGCCATATTTTGGAGTTTTGGTGCCCCATTTACTGGAAATCGGAGAGCTATATCTAAATCTTTTCGTCCGATTTAAGGTAAATGGTGCACCAAAGTCCCTATATATCTTTCGATTTGCACGAAATTTCGGACAACGTACTGAATTAAGGCTACAATGATGGGAGTTAAGTTTCGTGAATATCGGTTCAGATTTAGATATAGCTCCCATATATATAGTCGTCCGATTTAATGTAAATGGAGTACCAAAGTCCATATATATCTTTCGATTTGCACGAAATTTGGCACAGCGTACTGAATAAGGTCTAGAATGATGTGTGTTAAGTTTCCTGAAAATCGGTCCAGATTTAGATAAAGCTACATTATATATAGTCGTCCGATTTAATGTAAATGGTGTACCAAAGTCCCTATTTATCTTTCAATTTGCACGAAATTTGGCACAGCGTAATGAATTAGGTCTAGAATGATGTGTGTTAAGTTTCCTGAAAATCGATCCTGATTTAGATATAGCTCCCATATATATGGTCGTCCGATTTAATGTAAATGGAGTACCAAAGACCCTATATAGCTTTCGATTTGCACGAAATTTTGCATAGCGTACTGAAATATGAGTTGAATGATATGTGCTAAGTTTCGTGAAAGTCGGCTCAAATTTAGATCCGATTTGATGTAAATGGGGCACCAAAAACACAAAGTTACGTCGATTGTCACAAAATGGGGGATATGATTTACTCGAAATTGTCCGTTTATAACCTACATGGAATGATTAAGTAAATTCATCCGTCTGTTGTAATCATCTTTCCTTTGGATGATATCGAGATAAAAAACTAGTGGGTCAGGTTCGGCCCGCTTTTGGACATAGGCCCTATATAAAACCAATCGGCTTAAGTTTGGGTCTTTGGTGCACTATTTACTTAAAATCGAACGAAACTATGTATGGGAGCTATATATAGATCTGAAGCGATTTCCCCCATTTTCAATGTGTTAGTCCTAAGGTCAAAATAATTGAGCTGTGCCAAATTTATCCTATTTGGATCATAAATACGACCTGTACTTTGGTTACAATTTAGCATGGGCAGACAGACGTACAGACATACAAAAATCAACTCAGAAAGTGCTTGACATATTTCCATTGGAAAAAAGTCTATAGATGTGTTTCAGTCGCTCAAAAATACATACGAAAATATTTCGCTGAGATCATGGTCTTCCATTTGAGGCATCAAATAATTTGTTACGGTGGCACTAGTGGCACAATAGTTGACGGTTGCGTTCTCACTGTCATAATTTTGAAAAAATTTAAACCAGTGTTGGGCAAAATTAAATTGAGAGCAAGTGTGTGCGAGCGTAACTGGGAATTCACCATTAAAAACGACTGACGTAAAGAGAAACCAGTAAGGAAAGTAGTAAATTCGGACGGGGCCGACTATATGATACCCTTCACCACTATGGGTATATTAAACAGGACTATTAACATGAAATTGGATGAAATAAAATACGTGATATTTATCTAAATGTGAATCTACCTAGATCTATCCATAAAGTATGTAAATCGACTTCAAACAAATATAAATAGGTCATCCGTTGGGCTATGTCTGTACATTTAGAAAACGCAACTACGTAATTCTATGCTCAATTCGAAAGATATATAGGGACTTTGGGGCACCATTTACATGAAATCGGACGAAACTATATATGGGAGCTATATCTAAATCTGGACCGATTTTCTGGAAACTTGGCAGACATCACTCTAGGCTTAATTCAGTACGTTATGCCAAATTTCGTGCAAATCGAAGGATATATAGGGACTTTGGTGCACCATTTACATGAAATCGGACGAAACTATATATGGGAGCTATATCTTAATCTGGACCGATTTTCACGAAACTTAACATACACCATTCTAGACTCAATTCAGTACGTCATGCCAAATTTCGTGCAAATCGAAAGATATATAGCGACTTTGGTGCACCATTTACATGAAATCGGACGAAACTGTATATGGGAGCTATATCTAAATCTGGGCCGATTTACCCGAAACTTGGCAGACATCATTCTAGGCTTAATTCAGTACGTTATGCCAAATTTCGTGCAAATTGAAAGATATATAGGGACTTTGGGGCACCATTTACATGAAATCGGACGAAACTATATATGGGAGCTATATCTAAATCTGGACCGATTTTCTCGAAACTTGGCAGACATCACTCTAGGCTAAATTCAGTACGTTATGCCAAATTTCGTGCACATCAAAAGATATATAGGGACTTTGGGGCATCATTTACATGAAATCGGACGAAACTATATATGGGAGGTATATCTAAATCTGAACCGATTTTCTCAAAACTTGGCAGACATCATTCTAGGCTTAATTCAGTACGTTCAGTTAGTACGTTAGGGATTTTGGTGCACCATTTACATGAAATCGGACGAAACTATATATGGGAGCTATATCTTAATCTGAACCGATTTTCACGAAACTTGGCAGAAATAATTCTAGGCCCAAGCCAGTACGTTATGCCAAATTTGGTGCAAATCGAAGGATATATAGGGATTTTGGTGCACCATTTACATGAAATCGGTCGAAACTATATATGGGAGCTATATCTAAATCTGGACCGATTTTCACGAAACTTGGCAGACATTATTCTAGACCTAAATGAGCAGGCTGTACCAAATTTCGTGCAAATCGAAAGATATATAGGGACCGTTCACATTAAATCGGTTAAATATATATATGGGAGCTATATCTAAATCTGAACCGATTTTTCCCAATTTCAATAGGGTTCGTCCATGGGCCGAATAAGTGACCTATGCCAAATTTCATCTAATTCGGATCATAAATGAGACCTGTACTTTGTTTACAATTTAACATGGACAGACGGACGGACGGACGGACATGCATAAATCGACTCAGAAAGTGATTCTATGCATATTCTCAAAAGAAACCATGGGTCTAACTCGATTATTTTTGCCTGTTACAAACATATGCACAAAGACATAATACCCTGTACCACAATGTGGTGAAGGGTATAAAAAAGAGAAAATGTGTTTACCCATCGACCCTCAGTTACGGTAGCGTATATGGGTAAGCATGCCTGATTTAGACCGATGATTCCAAACCATTATTTTGACCTGATGAAATGACCGCTGTTGAATTACGCTTCGCTTATCAAAATTCGTCTCGTCAACTTTTTCCATGATGATTTGTATTAATTTGACTCTTGAAAAAAATATACCCACTTTGAACACCCTTTAGTACTAAATTGCACTATAATTATTCATAAGGAAATACCATATTGAACATTTTTAAATATATGATCAATTATTAGCAATTACACAAAATGTGTTTTTCTACAACAGACTTTATGCTGCACTTAGCTCCACATCAGAATAAAATTACAAAAGAATTAATGAACGTGTGGTATTAGAGGCTGGTATTGAT